CGTGGAACACGATTACGCGCGATCGGGTCCGCACCTAGAATCTGCTTTCGCTGCATTGAAAATGAAAACGACCTGACCGACGTATGTCTGCCGCGTCTCAAGCGTTGCCAGCAATGGTGAACGATAATCAGGCTTGCCGGGAAAACGCGTTTATCATTAATCGAATGAGTTTTGCGGCTGAAGATCGGTACACTGCGAGACTCGTTGCACCATGAATGAAGTTTGCACGTAGCTTGTGGTTCAGCATTTGCTCCGCCGCATTTACTCGCATTTTCTGTAATTACTAATTGTGATCTAAACTTGAATCTTCGTTCACGGAGCGAGGCAGTCTGTCATCGAACGGTGAAAGTGGGTACGTTGGATATTTCAGATTAACGAGAATTTGTTCTTGGCGAAAGAATAAAGTATAGCTCTTGTTATCTTGAAAGCATAATTGTATTCTCATTATCTCATTATTTAGTTTCGTCGAAACGAACGACACTCTTAAAATTTTCCGACACTATTAGTCGACTATTAGGTGACGCGTACAAAATTCTACGTGTTTTTTCATCGAATCAGATTGTACCGGTACGTGTCAAATTAGTCGCAATTCATTTCCCTGCGACATCCATAAATTGATACATGTCCAATCGCACGTACGTTAACGTACATCGATGTAGTTACATAATTCGAGATTTCCTAACTGCTGTCACAGCGAAAGCAGTGCAACACATACAACGTGCGGTAGATCGACGACAAGAAAAATATGCTTCTGTATATCTGCAAAGAATGTATTTCTGTTTTTCTTAATCGGCAGATAACGTTTTGTTGATCGAGACGTTTTAGATTATTCAGTACCTCGAACGATTCGGTTTAAAAAGGAACGTGCAACTCTTTGCAATTCTGATTTTACAATACAAACACTTGTATTTTGCCTCGAGACTTTCGAGCCAGCAGTAAAAATACACGGTGACGTAGGAAAGTTTTCGAATGCCGGATGGCCATCGCTGTTAATCATTCGAATCAATAAATAACGAGATGACAATTAATCGGTCTAGGTTTGTCGGAATATTCTCTTAGAGTTCATACGCCAATATCCAAGTCTTAAAAATCAGAAATACACTTACACTGTGTTTATCTTCCGTCCTCCGAATGCTATTGGTAGAAGATATTCATACATAGTCAGGTTATAAATTAAATTCATTAGCGACACCGATTAATCTCGTCACGCTTAAAATATACGTGTTACGTGGAAACAGCTTGAATCTCAGTCTGCGAAGTTCATTTGTAAATCAACGTAGAAAATTTCTTTATCACATATATGTCCCAGGGTATCCCATTCAAATCGATCCATCCGAATATCTGCCAAAAAAATGTCACAATTAAAATTTGTTCTGTTTCGAGACTTGTTATAACGACTATCAGATTTTTTTAACTATAAATGGAGACGTTTCCAAGATTTCAAGGTGATCTGCATTTTTTATAAATGGAGTTATATATATATATTTTTTTTCTTTCTTCCTCCTCGAAATAGAACAAGTTTTATTCGAAACATTTTTTTGTATCATCAACAGTTTGGCAGATATTCTATATTTATTTTCCAAATTAAATGCCGTACACAAATTTTCCATATACATGTATACAATGAGAAGTATAATTAACGACAATGAAAAATGGTCGATAATTTAAACCGACGATAATACAACTTCGTAGAAGAAAGTTATACAACGATGAGGGGGATCTCATTTTTTTAAATCATGAAGCTTGTACTTTGATAATCGTGAATTTGTTCTCTTCGAAAATGATTTTACATCATGTAGCGAGTGAAAAACTAAGGACACATTTCTTTTCGAAAATTGTAAAAATTCAAATGCGTGTAAAAAATGCGTTTTTCTTACGATTAAATCTAACATGGTCTTGGAGATTGAAATTTTAAATCTCGCTGTACGAATTTTCCTTTCAGCATTTTATTGAATTTGGAACATCAGAGTTAGATGACAAAATGTTGGGATTTTCAAACTTTTGTCGTTTAATCCTAATAATATTCAAAATTCAATAAAACAGTAAAGAAAAAATCGCAGAACAAGTTTCAGAGAATCATTGTGAACTGTAATCTTCGAAACGATGATGGATCTAGTAGCGGAAAGAAATTTGAATTTTCACAATTTTCAGAAAAAAAAAAAAAAAA